ATACAAAAAAGGCTACAATAACAATAAAAAAATAAAAAAATGTTTCCAGAAAAGGCTACAAACAAAAAACAATGAAAGCCTAGAACCAAAAAAACGTAATAAACAAAAAGATTAAAAAGGGCCATAAAAAATAACAAAACAAAAAAAAAACGTCCAAAAATCAAATCAGAAAAAGACGAAAAAAAGACTAGAAAACGTAACGGAAACAAGGAATAAAAAACAACCATAAAAACCGACACCAGTTAAAAAAAAAATCGCAAAATCTGCAAAAAAAGGGACAAAGAGGCTACAATAAAAAGTAAGAAAAGAAACAAAAAACAAGCCCAAAAAGGCAATAGGGAAAATTTAAAAGAAAAAAAGAACAAAAACCCATAACCCAAAAACACAACGCAAAAAATGCGATTAAAAAAACACAAAAAGCTACAAAAATGTAACAATGAGTCACGACTAAAAAAATAGAAAAAAACGACAAAAAAGCAAATCAGTTACCAAAAAAGAGGCAAAAAAACGACAAAAAGCACCACGAAAAAGCAAAAACGCGGCTAAAAAACGAAACAAAAAAGAGACATAGGAAAAAAGGCTACAAAGACGATAAAAAAATACTACAAAAAAGTAATGAGAAAGCAAAATAAAATTACCACAGAAGACGGCAACCAAAAAGTCAAAATCTGTCAAGAAAAGCGACAAAGAAAAAGCTGTAATAGAAAGTAACAAAAAAACAACAAGAAGAAAAGTACTCAAAAAAGACAGCAGGAAAAGGCTACAAACAATAAATCAACAAAAAAGCAATAGAAATAATCCATAACCAAAAAGCACAACAAAAAAAGGCCATAACAAAAGGGACAAAAAACGACAAATAGACCAGAAAAAAGAGAAATAATTACAAAAACGGCTACAAATAGCAACAGAGAGCTGCGACAAAGAAAAAAAAACGAACGACAAAAGCAACCAAGAGTCTGTAACCCAAAAAGAAAGGCACGATTTAATAAAAGATAAATTGCACAAATTAGATACTACCAAATCTCCTGGTCCTGATGGTATTAGTGCAAAAATTTTAAAAGAGTGTGGCAGTTCCCTTGCTCGCCCGCTTTGCATGTTGATGAAGCAATCATTTCGGTCAGGACGATTGCCAAACGATTGGAAAACTGCCACCATCACACCTGTGTTCAAAAAAGGGGACAAGTTTAATGCGGCGAACTATAGGCCTATAAGTTTAACTTCAGCAGTAGTGAAACTAATGGAATGTATCATCTACGATCAGTTGGTGGCGTTTTTAACAGCACACCAGGTTATACCTCGTGAGCAACATGGTTTCACACCTGGAAAGTCCATAGCGACCAATTTGCTCTGTTGTTTAGACAACTGGACTAGAGAACTCGATTCTGGTGGCTCAGTAGATATCGCGTACTTTGATTTTTCGAAGGCTTTCGATCGTGTGCCGAAACGCCGACTCCTTTTGAAATTACGACATTATGGAATCCAAGATAGTCTTCTCAGGTGGATTGAATCTTTTCTTTCTGACCGAATATTTAAGGTTAAGGTTGGTGATATGTTTAGTTCTCCTTTTCCAGTTCTGAGCGGTGTGCCACAGGGCTCTGTATTAGGACCCTTGTTGTTTTTAGCGTATGTATCCGACATAAAAGATTGCTTAATTTCTCCTTGGGCAATGTATGCTGACGATTTGAAAATCTACAATATTTGTTCCAATTATGAAGTCTTAACGAAGGATATAGCAACTATTTATAACTGGTCACTAAAATGGTTACTTCCAATTAATGCGGACAAATGTAATATCCTTTATTTAGGCAGCGACAATCCAAAGCAAACTTATTATATCAACGGCACCGAGCTTACCAAGTGTGTTTCTTTGTCGGATATGGGTGTTATCGTAACGTCTACTTTGACATGGTCTGAACATATCACAAAAGTCGTGAAAAAAGCCAACAAGATACTATATCTTCTCGGAAAGACATTTGCTAAAGCTGATGTAAATACTGTAACTAAACTGTATAAAACTTATGTTAGACCGATATTAGAATATGCCAACTGCGTTTGGGTTCCAACATTACAACGTGATATCAATTTACTAGAATCTGTCCAGTGTCGTGCCACAAGAATACCGTACGGACAAGTGCGCCCCTCTTACCCTGACAGACTTAATCTTATGAAATTGCCATCGTTAGCCGACAGGCGTGTAAGAGGTGACATGTTGACAACATTTCAGGCTTTTACAAATGTTAGTTCACCTATCAGACATCTTTTTCCTGTCAACATTGATGGACGAACCAGAGGTCACCGGTTCAAATTGGAGAAGGACAATTTTCGGACTTCCATTCGTCAGACGTTCGTCACTAACAGGGTATTCACCGAATGGAATGCATTACCCCCTGAAGTTGTTGAAAGTGCTTCCGTTCCTAGATTTAAGGTCAACTACGACACCTTTCGAAACCGTAGATAGTTGTATATAGTTATATCCATAATTTATTATATTTAAAATAATTTGTGATTGCATCAATTGTCGTCTTGCGCGGGCATAACAGACTTCGGTCTCTGCCCGAACGCTTCATTTTAATAATAATAATAATAATAATAATAAGAAAACGACCAAAAAACACAAAAAACAAAAAATACGGCTAAAAACATGACAAAAAAGAGCCTAGGAAAAACGCTTCCAGAAATGGCTACAAACAAAAAACAACAAAATGCCAAAAGCAACAAATAATAATATAAAAAGTCTACTAAAAGTGGTCACAAAAAGCAAAAAAATTAAGAAAACAGAAGTGCTACAAAATGCAACAAAAAACATTAAAAGAAGTAACGAAAATAAAACAACAAAAAAACGCGACTAAAAAACATGACGATAAAAGGTGACATAAATCAACAAAAAGCGACCCCAAAAATCCAATAAAAACCAAATGAGGAAAAAAACATGTTACAAACAATAAACAACAAACCAAGCAACAAAAATCCTACAAAAAAAGCGAGAAGAAAAGACGAAGTAGAGCTAAAAAATTACAAAAAATAAAAATACATTGATAAACCACAAAACTAAACCCATAGTATTTTGTACATTTTAGAATTTTAAAAATTACGTAAAACAAACAAACAAAAATTGTTAGCGATTTATTGTCTGTATAACGATATACAAAAAATTTCATAAAATCAGTCCAGTAGTTTTGTAAATTATCTGCCTAATAAAATCGCCAACAGATGACAAACAGACGAAAACGTAAGACCTACTTTTTCAGAGCCTAGGGGTTATAAAACGAGAAAAGCTTACACTTACGTTCGGGAAATAAAAATCTAAGAAAAATTTTGAAAAACTGCCAAAATTTTTGAATACAAAAAAATAATACATATTCAATTTCGTTGAAAACAAAACTACAAAAACCGTAATTTAAAATTTATTACTTATTTTTTTTTTCAACATAATTCTTCAATCAATACCTTTAATAGCTCGTACAAACCACAACAAAACAATGGTCAAGGTCACCGCATTGCAACACCCATTCGCAACTCAGCAAAATCGCTACACCACCGCATTAACAAAAACAAAAGCCGCCACGGCCACCCGAGACGTGCTTCAGCACCGCAAAACCATTATAAAAGCAAAAACTGAAACAAAAACTCCATCAGTAACAAAAATGATTCGTTTAGTTTGTTACACTTTATTAACAATAACGACACAGGTAAGGTTCACACTATACAAATTCAATACATTTATTTATGTGTAACTACAGATCACGTGCTCATCAACCCAAGACCTAAAATCCATATTCCACATCCCGTCGAGACGCAACTACGACGACCTAGAAATTCTGGAACGGTCAAATTTCGACGCTAGCCCCACCCCCGCTGGTGCCACCAACCCAGCAACAGACACGCCCCTCAGAGCCTTCGCTAACGCCCAAGTAATGCTGCGTTTTGGAGACAATGCGGAGAGAGGGAAGTGCGCGTGTGGCGACGTCTGTCAGTGCAAACGAGAGCCCTACTACGTACCAGTTCTCACCCCGCTTCCTTATTGCCTGTGTGCGCCGCCCACAATGCCGAATTTAGCTCCGCCCACACCTAATGAACATCCAACGTACTACTACATCGCGCCACCAAAAGAAGAAGTCCCGTATTACTACGTCCCGAAACCGGTTTTAGCCCCTCCCACACCTCAAGAAGCACCACAGGAAAAGAACGCCCAAAACGGGAACGTGATCGACGAAAACGAACAACCAGAGAATAGTGAAATTAAACACGATAATCATCCCCAAATTCTCAAGACTGTTGAACTTTCCGAAGACACTATTAAACCAGCGGGTGAAGATCTTAATAAAATTAAATGTTTAGAGGAGGTGTCGAATAAGTTAGAACCGAATGAATTTTCGCCTAATCTTAAAATCGTGAGTTTGGATTTAGATAAAGTGGGTTCTAAATCGTCGAAGAAAGAGCTGCAAAATTGTCTAATTCCGTACTCTCTTCCGAAGCAGAAGCCCAAGCTTATGGTGACGTACCCCATTTTTAATAGACCGAATGAGGTTGTGGTTCCGGTGAAACCGCCAGTGGTTCAGTGTAGTCAAAGCGGGTATTCGGTGTCAGGGGGTTCGGGGTACTATGTTGACCCTGTGAGGACTATGGTGTATAGAAGACCTACTGTTTTGTCAGTGGTGCCCCCGCAGACTAGTATAGTGACAGATGGTTCAGGAGGGAAGTTTATTTATGTTCCTGTGTTCCAACCCGTGTCTATGGCAGCCCCCATGACTCCAGTTCCAGTGCCCCACAACGACGACTGTTGTTGTTACAGTTGTGCCAAATATGCAGGGGAGTTGAACGAAAAAGTACAAGCTAGATAGTTTACTCATTACTGATGTATTTATTTATTTATTTGTTGTAATAAATTAAAAAAATTAGTTTATCCAGGATCCACCTTATTGCGCCGCCACTGCCTAAACTATTCTAGTAGCATTTCTAGTAACTTTTGCCGATTAGGTTGGTAGTTCACTTACGACATTTCCGTTTCCGACAGTGACCGGCGATCTTTGTTTTGTGCAGTTAATTCTTTCGGCATTTAGAAATAATGGCAATCAGCTTATTAAACCCCAAAGCTGAAGTGGCAAGGGCCGCCCAAGCCCTAGCCGTCAATATTTCAGCAGCTAAGGGCATCCAGGACGTGATGAAATCGAATCTCGGCCCTAAAGGAACCGTGAAAATGTAAGCTGTCAAAGAACACATGACCCCGGTTTTCGCTAAAAAGCCCCCGATTTGGGGCCCGCGGACGCTAAAAGTGACGAAAACGCCAAAACTAGCGACGAATTTGCATCCTAGATTTGCAAAATGTGATTTTTGAAGAGGAGTGGTGACCCGGGTTGACATAACCTCACTTTTTCCACACCCCCAAAACGGTTAATTTTTGAGTGAGGACTTAGTCACAATCAAGTGACTTATTGCACGTTTTGTAAAGTTTTTACATAACCTCACTTTTGCACCCCCTTGAAGTTTTTGTTTTTTTGTTTGGTAGGTTGGTTTCCGGGGCTGGTGACATTAAAATCACCAAAGATGGCAACGTCCTCCTCCACGAGATGCAAATCCAGCACCCCACAGCCTCGCTTATCGCCCGAGCCTCCACCGCCCAGGACGACATGACCGGCGACGGCACCACTTCCACGGTCCTCGTGATAGGCGAACTCCTCAAGCAAGCCGACATTCTCATCTCAGAGGGGCTCCACCCCCGCGTCGTTACCGAAGGCTTCGATAAAGCCCGCGCCAAAACCCTCGAAATTCTCGAATCCATTAAAATCCCTATCGAAATCACTAAAGAGAATCTGTTAGAAGTGTGTCGAACGAGCTTGAGGACCAAACTCCACCAAGGACTAGCCGACGTTCTCACCGACATCTGCGTGGACGCAGTGCTTGCAATCAAGCCCAAGGACAAACCAGCGGACTTGCACATGGTCGAGTTGATGGAAATGCAGCACAAGACGGCCACAGATACGGCCTTGATTAAGGGGTTGGTGCTCGACCACGGCTCGCGGCACCCCGACATGCCCAAGCGGCTCAAAAATTGCTACATTCTGACTTGTAATGTGTCAATGGAGTACGAAAAGAGCGAGGTCAATTCTGGGTTCTTCTACAAGACGGCGGAAGAGCGCGAAAAGATGGTTCAAGCGGAGCGGGAGTTTATTGAACAGAGGGTCAAGAAAGTCGTGGCTTTGAAGAAAAAGTTGTGCGACGGGACGGATAAAACGTTTGTGGTGATCAACCAAAAGGGGATAGATCCCATGAGTTTGGATCTTCTGGCTAAGGAGGGAATTATGGCCTTGAGGAGAGCCAAAAGGAGGAACATGGAGAGGTTGGCTCTGGCGTGTGGAGGCGTGGCTTTGAACCACTTGGATGACATCCAGGAGAGCCAATTAGGATATGCCGGGGTCGTGTATGAGCACGTTTTAGGGGAGAACAAATACACGTTTGTGGAGGAATGTAAAGTCCCGCAGTCTGTGACCATTTTGATGAAGGGTCCAAATAAGCACACTTTGACTCAGATCAAGGACGCTGTTAGGGATGGTTTAAGGGCTATTAATAATGCGATTGAAGATAAGGCGTTGATTCCTGGTGAGAATTGTGTAATTTTTTTTTGGTCTTTTGTTCTAAGGGTGTTACAGGTGCTGGCGCCTTTGAGGTCACCGCCCACAAACAACTGATGGCTTACAAGGACTCAGTCAAGGGCAAGTCTCGTTTAGGCATTGGCGCCTATGCTGAAGCCCTTTTGATCATTCCGAAAGTTTTGGCAACAAATTCCGGATTTGATGCTCAGGTTTGTAATGAATTTGAAAGTTTGCTTCCTGAGCGGAAGGTAATTCCTAGAGTACGAAAAAATAGGTCCCGTTTCCGTCTGTCTGTAGTAAGTAACATAGTCCTGAAGTTGTGGTTTATGAATCCGTTATGAATTTTTATCCTACACATCGAGATTTTTGTAAAAAAAATCAAAATTTTAGATATAACAATTTTTCTGCATTTGAGTTCTCGATTTTTCAACTGTTGATTTCTCAATTTTTCTAATTTTCAATATCTCGATTTCAGTTTTTCAATTCCTCAAATTTTCGATTTCTCAATTTTCCGATGTTTGTTTTACGATTTTTCAATTTTTGACATATCTAAAGTTTGAATTTTTTCAGTTTTTCGACTTTTCGTTTTCTCAATTTTCGATTTCTCCATCTTTTAATGTATTATTTTTTCGATTTCTTGGTTTTTCGACTTTTCGATTTTCCAATTTTTTTAAATTTCTATTTTTCAATTTTTCGGTTTCCCAATTTTTCGTTATTTAAGTTTTGGAATTTTTCACTTTTTCGATTCTTCAATTTGTCCATATGTATTTTACTTTTTAATTTTTTTTAATTTGAAGTTTTTCGATTTCTCGATTTTTCAGTTTTGCCATATTTTTATGTTTCAATTTTTGGAATTTTTAATTATTTATTTCACGATTTTTTGATGTTTTGATTAATCGGTTTTTCGATTGTTCGAGATTTAAATTTTTCAATTTTTAAATTTATATCTTTCTGTGTTTTGACGTTTCGATTTTTCAACTTTTCGGTTTTAGATTTTTCAGTTTTTCCATTTTTCAAATTTTCGATTTTTCTATTTTTTCAGTTTTTCGGCTTTCAAATTTTCCTGTTTTTCGATTTCCCGTTTTTCAGTCTTCGTTATTTCAATTTTGCCATGTCTTAGTTTTGGGATTTTAGTATTTTTCAATTTTTCGATTTTTCAGTTTTTCGATTTTTTACTTTTTAAATTTTTAAATTCGATTTTTCTATTTTTTAATGTTTCAATTTCCCTATTTTTCATTTTTTGGATATATTAATTTTTCAAATTCTTCAGTTTTTTGATGTTCCGATTTCTCAATCTTTCGATTTTTCGACTTCTCGATTTTAGATTTTTTGGTATTTGAATTTTTCTATTCTCGATTTATCGACATTTCGATTTTTTGTTTGTTCAATTTCTCGATTTTTCGGTTTATCAATTTTTTTTTAATTTTTCAATTTTTAACCATTCCATTTTTCGATTTTTTACTTATTCGATTTTTAAAGTTTTCGAAATTTTAATTTTTGAATTTATAAAACTTTAGATTTCTTGATTTTTCAGTTCCTTGATTTTTCAATTTTTCGAATTTTGAAGTTTATATTTCGATTTCTCGATGTTTCAATTTTTTAAATATTTACTTTTCTGTTTTGAAATTTTTCAATTTTTCTCTTTCTAGATATATTGAGATTTCGATGTTTCGATTTTTTTATTATTCAATTTCTTGTTTTTTCGAGTTTTTTAATTTTAAAATTTTCAATTTTGCCCTTTTTCGATTTTTCGATATCTCAACTTTTTGATTTGTTTCGATGTTTTTTCGATTTGTTGGTTTTTTGATTTTCGTTTTTCCAACTATCCAAAATTTCGTCATTTCAGTTTTGGAATTTTTCAGTTTTTCGATTCTTCAGTTTTCCGACTTTTCAATTTTCCTGTTTTTTTAATTTCAGGTTTTTCAATTTCCCGATTTTTCAGTTTTCGTTGTTTCTATTTTTCAATTTTTCCAATTTATAGTTTTTTGATTTTTCAGTTCTTCTATTTTTTATTTCGGGATCGAAATATGTATTATTTCGATTCTTCAGTTTTTCGATTTTTAAATTTGATTTTTCGATTTTTTGATGTTTCGATTTCCCTATTTTTCATCTTTTTGATATTTTAATTATTCAATTTCTAAAGTTTTAGATTTTAGGATTTCTCGACTTTTCATTTCTTCGATTTTTCAATATTTCGAATTTTTTAATTTTAGATTTTGCAGTTTTTTAATGTTTCGATTTCTCGATCTTTGGAGTTTTCAACTTCTCGTTTTTAAATTTTTCTGGTCCTTCATTTATTGAGATTATAGTGTTTGAATGTTTTGATTATTCAATTTCTCGTTTTTTCAATTTTTTATGTTAAATGTTTTCATTTTTAACTTCGATTTTTCAATTTTGGCCTTTTCCGATTTTTCAACATCTCAACTTTCGATTTCTCCATCTTAAAATTTTTCGATATTTTTTCGATTTCCCAATTTTTCGTTATTTCAGTTTTGGAATTCTTCGATTTGTCACTTTTTCGATTCTTCAATTTTTCACTTTTTGCAATTTTTTAAATTTTGAATTTTAGATTTGGGTTTTTTTGAATTTTTTGAAGTTGAGATTTCTCGATTTTTCACCTTTTCGACTCTTCAATTTGTCCATATGTATTTTAATTTTTGATTTTTCGAATTCTCGATTTTTCAGTTCTTCCATATTTCAAATTTTTAATTTTTGATTTTTCAATTTTTTGATTTTACGATTTTTTGATGTTCCGATTTCTCGATTCTTATGTTTTTGTTGTTTCGATTTCTGGATTTTTCTATTTTTTAACTTTTCGGTTTTAGATTTTTCAGTTTTTCCATTTTTCAAATTTCTGATTTTTCGAGTTTTAAATTTTCCTGTTTTTCTTTTTTTGAGGTTTTTAAATTTTTCAATTTTTTGATGTTTCAATTTATCGATTTTTCTTTTTTTTTTAATTTCAGGTTTTTCAATTTTGTGATGTTTCAGTCTTCCTTATTTCTATTTTTCAATTTTTTCGAATTTTTAGTTTTTTGACTTTTCAATTTTTGATATTTTAGTTTTAGGATTTTGCAATACAATTATTCAGTTTTTCGATTTATTTTTTCGATTTTCAAATGTGATTTTTCGATTTTTTGTTTCAATTTCTCTATTAATGTATTCGATATTTTGATTTTTCTGTTTTTCGATTTTTCAATATTTCGAATTTTTAAGTTTTAGATTTTTCAGTTTTTTGATGTTTCAATTTCTCGATTTTTCAATTTTTCTATTTCTCTATTCCCGATTTATCGAGATTTCAATGTTTCGAATTTTTTATTGTTCAAATTGTGAATTTTTCGGTTTAGCTATTTTTTTAAATTTTAAATTTTTCAATTTTTAACTATTCCAATTTCGATTTTTTATTTTTTCGATTTTTCAATTTTTGTAATTTCAAATTTTTGGATTCCCACTTTTTCAGTTCTTCGTTATTTCTATTTTTAAATTTTTCGAATTTTTAATTTTTTGCAGTATTTCAAATCAATTTTTTCATTTTTTACTTTTTTAAATTTGATTTTTCGATTTCCCTATTTTTCATCTTTTTGATATTTTAATTTTTCAATATTTCGAATTTTTCAGTTTTAGATTTTTCAACTAATTGATTTTAAACTTTTTGGTTTTTGAATTTTTCTATTCTCGATTAATCGAGATTTCGATTTTGATTGTTCAATTTTTGTCGATTTTTCGGTCTATTTTTTTTAATTTTCAATTTTCAACTTCCATATTTCGATTTCTCGATTTTTTGACTTCTCGGTTTTTTATTTTTTCGATATTTTAATTTTGCTTTTTTTTTATTTTCTCAATGGCATTTTTCAATTCTTCGATATTTCTATTTTTCAATTTTGTTTTAATTTCTCGGTTTTTGGATTTTAAAAATTTTTCGACTTTCCGAATTTTAGATTTCTCTATTTATGTATTTGAAATTTTGGTTTTTCAATTTCGAAAATCTTGGATTTTTGATTGTTCATTTTCGGTTTATATTTTTTTTTTATTTTCAATTTTTAACTTCCAAATTTCGATTTTTCGGTTCTTCGATTTTTCAAGTTTAGATTTTTCAGTTTTTTGATGTTTCAATTTTTTGATTTTTGGTTTTAGATTTTTCGGTTTTTCCATTTTTCGATTTTTAAAATTTTTGCTTTTCTGTTTTTAATTTTTTCAATTTTCTTATTTTAAATTTTTTAATTTTAAACTTCGATTTCTCAATTTTGCCTTTTTTGATTTTTCAGTATCTCAACTTTCGATTTCTCCATCTTAAAATGTTTCTATATTTTTTCAATTTTTTGGTTTTTCCAATTTTTCGTTATTTGTATTTTTCTATTTTTTACTTTTTTAAATTTCATTTTTCAATTTTTTTAAGTGTCGATTTCCCTATTTTTCATTTTTTTGATATTGTAATTTTTCAGTTTCTAAAATTTTAGATGTTATAATTTCTCGATTTTTCAATTTTTCGATTTTTGAATATTTCGAATTTTTTAGTTTTACCTTTTTCAGTTTTTTGATGTTTCGATTTCTCGATCTTTAGATTTTTCAACTTCTCGGTTTTAGGTTTCATGGTTTTTCAATTTTTCTTGATTTTTCGGTCTATTTTTTTTAATTTTAAATTTTAAACTTCCATATTTCGATTTTTCAATTCTTTGACTTCTCGGTTTCTTTAGTTTTTCAATTGTTCAATTTTTGGATTTTTCGGTTTATCTTTTTTTAATTTTCAATTTTTCAATTTTTAATTATTCCGATTTCCCGATTTTTCAGTTCTTCGATATTTATATTTTTCAATTTTATGAATTTAAAATATTTTTATTTACCAATTTTTTGATGTTTAGATTTCTCGATTTTTCGATTTTTTTCAATTTTGGGGACTTTCTAATTTTTGGATTTTTCAATTTAAATTTTTTTTTGATTTTTAAGTTTTTCGATTTTTGTTTAAATATATTTCCCATTGGCCGCACTGCTACTGCACTTCAGAGACGAGGGAAGTTCCGTGGAAATAACGTTCAACTAATTTTTTGTTTCAAGTGTAAATTATCATGACATAATTTGAAAGTAACTGTCAAACCAGTCAAGCAACGCTTTGGTGTTGCCAACATTATTATTTTAGAAATAAATTTCATGACCTACTAAGTTTTCAAAAAAACCAAAACTAATTCTCCACATTTGCTTGCCCCCAGGACACAATCGTGAAACTCCAAGAAGAATCTCGCCTCAACCCAGAACCCATCGGGCTCGATCTGACCTCCGGACAACCCATCAACCCGAAAGACGCAGGCATTCTCGACAACTACGTCGTCAAAAAGCAAATAATCAACTCGTGCTCCGTGATTGCCAGCAACCTGCTGCTAGTTGACGAAATCATGAGAGCCGGAATGAGCAGCTTGAAGGGTTAATCAACTCTCGATTTTTCCATAATTAATCAGCTTGGTATTAACATAAAGTGTTCACTTAAGTAATTAACTTTTGTATTTATTCTGCAATGCAATTGACTTTAATAAACAAAATAAACGCAAACTTAACTAACACACGAATCTGTTATTCATTATTCGTTTGAAACGTGTTTGAACTATATTTGGGGATATTTCGTCCAGCTGTTGGCAACGCGCCCAACTGTCACTAGAAAGAGACAGCTCGACCGAAATTGAGGTCAGTCGGAGCAAGATAACGACTTTTGTTTGTTGCTCGAAGGTGATTGGTCGGTTCAAATTCGTCAAACTTCTTTCTCCATGTTTTTAGTAGAAGCCGTTATTTGTTCAAAACTCGTAAATTATTAATTTAATTTACTCAAATCGCAAGTAAGTGGGTAGTTAGAGGTGTGTAAGGCGCGATTCGTGCGACCGATTAACTAAAACGCGCTTTTCGGTTGATTGGAAAAGGGGTTAAGTTTGACCCTTGTAGGGTCTTTTTTCGTGTTCTTTCAGATAAACAACAATGTCGAAGCAATCGAGCAACATGGACGATTTTCTCAAAATCGAAAAAATCGGCGAAGGTACTTATGGCGTGGTTTATAAGGGTAAAAATAAAAAGACTGGCCAACTCGTTGCAATGAAAAAAATCAGGTATAATGGACGCTTTCGGTGAAAGATTTTACAAGTGTGTTGATTTTGTAGACTGGAGGCTGAGGACGAAGGGGTTCCATCGACGGCAATCCGCGAAATTTCGCTTTTAAAGGAGCTGCGCCACCCGAATGTGGTCTCGCTTGAGGACGTCATGATGGAGGAAAAAAGGTTGGTGGTTGTGCACGGGGCCCCCCAATCTTGACTTGTCTTTTCCAGACTTTATTTAATCTTCGAATTTCTCTCAATGGACTTGAAAAACTACCTCGACAATATCAAGCCGGGCAAGTACATGGAGCCTGAGCTAGTCAAAAGCTATCTCTTCCAAATAAACGAAGCGATTTTGTTCTGCCACCAAAGACGCGTGCTACATCGGGACTTGAAGCCCCAGAATTTGCTCATAACGCGCGACGGTACCATCAAGGTGGCCGATTTCGGGCTGGGGCGGGCGTTCGGGATCCCCGTGAGGGTGTACACCCATGAAGTCGTCACGTTGTGGTACCGAGCACCGGAGGTGCTCCTGGGCTCCCAGAGGTACTCTTGCCCCATTGATATTTGGTCGCTGGGGTGCATTTTCGCCGAAATGGCCACCAAACGCCCGTTGTTCCAAGGGGATTCGGAGATAGACCAATTGTTTAGGATATTCAGGTGAGTGTGGCCGGTGCATGGGAGTACTAACCCAAATTTAGAGTTTTGAGAACCCCGACTGATGATTTGTGGCCCAACGTGTCCAGTCTGCCCGACTACAAAGCCACTTTTCCGCGCTGGACTTCGTACAATTTGGAAACACAAGTGAAAAATATGAACAAAGATGCCGTGGATTTGTTGAAACAAATGGTGGTGTATGACCCGGCTAAACGGATCTCGGCTAAGAGAATCGCTCTTCATGCGTATTTCCGGAACGTGGACCGGTCAGTGAAGCCCATTTTCGATTTTAAATGACTAGGTTAGGTATTTATTCTCACGAGAGGGAATTGTGTTCTTGTTAAGACAATGTTTTATAAACTAATTCTAACATATCATCATTGTGAATTATCTTCATGTGCGTAATATATTTGTATTCTTTCGACTTGATTTTGAGGTTAGGTCACATGACTTAGCCACGCCCTCTACGCATGCGCACTCCATTCAAACGCCCTCTTGATCACATTTTTTAATAAGTCAAAATAAATATACATTTGATAGCACCATAATTTAGATCAAAATGCCTAACAAAGTTGTGCATACAATAACAAATTTCTAAAAAAATAGCGCCTATGAACCTAAACCGTAACGAAGTGGTAACATGCGTGTAATCGATACTACAGAGTGTCGGGGAATTTCAGTTTGTGCCGTTGAGACACTTGTTTAAAAAATTGCATACACTGTTTACGTAGCTCTCTTTGTGTTCCGTGTAGTGTTTGACGTGTGGACTGCCCTCGTAGCAAAGACTCGTGACGTCAACACCCAGCGATCTTCGATAGTCGGCGAAATATTCGATATCCTTCGAAAAAACAATTAAAATAAAAAAAAACGAGCTGCGACACACGTCAATACTTACCGTGAACGGAATCAGGACGTCCTTCTTAGAATAGATGAAGTGCTGCGGCCACGTGTTTTTCTCGTTCTTTAAGTTCTCTAAAGGGTTGGACTGGAATGTCGTCTTGGGGTTGATATAGTTGCTAATTACCTACGGGCGAAAGTTGCGTGAAAGCGGATTGGTTTATGGGGTTTACCTCGTAAAGCCATATCATGGACAGGAACATGGTCATGAGGACCGACATGGGGATGTTGTAGAGAGGTTTTCCGCCGAGGATGGCCGAAATGGCACGAAATAGGCTCACGATGCGCCTCTTGCCGGGGGCGGAGTCGAAAATCACCCCCTTTATCTAAAACAAGAAATTAATAAAAAAAGGTGGATTTGTGTGTTTTCACTTACTTGTATAGGTTTTGGGCTTTTCTCAAGTGCCAGAGAAAAATTCTGGTACAGGAAAGCGCCGCCGTTGGAGAAGCAGTGGATTATGATGGGGTGATTTTCGAAATTGAGGTCCACCAGCAATTTTACCAGACGCTCCCCTATTGTGATCATCTGGAGGCGTTTCCAGAAGAGACATTTCACGGGGGCTGTGTATCTCAAGGTAATCAGTCTAAAAATAGTTAATGATTTACATATTGCGTGTTTTATCTGCCGAAATATATTAAAAGATGTAATGGTAATACGTCGCTTTTAGTATATACGGAAAAGTAGGTCCTCCTTTTCTGTCAGTGTGTCTATTATATTGTGAAAGTTGGCCAACTCACTCCACTAAAGCCTGTGACGTCATATCAAAATTTTGCTGAGTTATAATAAAAAAAATGGTGGAAGGTTATTGCGACAGAATTGTAGCCTGCTTTTCGAAAAATCGAAAAACCCAGATATTGAAAGTCCCCAAAATTTAAAAGTTGGAAAATTGAGAAATCGAAAAATCAAAATGGATATCGAAAAACATTTAAAAATTGATCGAGAAATCGAAACCTCAAAATGTCGAGAAAGTGAAAAACTGAAAAATTAAGAAATCAAAACAGGCTAAAATCGAAAAGTTGAAAACTGAAAATTGGCATTTAAAAAATTGAATAAATTGAAAAATCGAAAAATTAAAGAATCTGAAAACTGAAACGGCGAAAAATCAAATATGTATTTAAAAAGTCGAAACATCGAAAAGTCGAGAAATATGAAAATAAAAAAATCGATTAATCGAGAAATCGAAACATCGGAAAATTGAACAAACGAAAAATGTGAAATTTAAAAAACCGAAAAATTGAAAAATCAAAATATCGAAGAATTAAAAAATCGAGAAGTCGAAAACCCACAATTTCAAAAATCGGAACATCGAAAATTGGAAAATCGAAAAGTCAAAAATGCGAGCAGTTGAAAAATGGGAATAATAAACAAAATCGAAAATATAAAAATTCGAAAAAACCGTGAAGTAGAAAATCGAAAAAGTAAAAATCGGAAAATTGAAAAATCCCAAAACTAAAATATCGAAAAATTGATAAACTGAAAAGTCGAGAAATCAAAAATCCAAAATTTGAAAAATAGAAAAATCGAAAAACTAAAACATCGAGAAATTGAAAAATTGCTAAACTGAAATAACCAAAAATTGGGATATCGGAACGCCGGAAAATCGAAAAACCAAGAAATCGAAAAGTCGGAACATCGAAAAATTCAAAAACTGAAACATCAGAAGATCGAGAATTCGAAAAATTTAAAGATTAAAAAATTAGAACATCGAAAAAGTAAAAATCGGAAAATTGAATCAGAATATTGAAAAATCCCAAAACTAAAATATCGAAAAATTGATAAACCGAAAAATCGGAACTGAAAAATCGAGAAATGGGAAAATAAAAAAATTGGAAATTTAGGAACGTCAAAAATTGAAAAATCGAGAAATCAAAAATCCAAAATATTAAAAACAGAAAAATCAGAAAATTGAAAAACTAAAACATCGAGAAATTGAAAAATTACAAAACTAAAATGACCAAAAATTGGGAATCCGAAAAATTGGAACATCGGAACGCCGGAAAATCGAAACACCAAGAAATCTAAACATCAAAAGTTTGAGAAGTCGGAAACAAAAAATGTAAAACTTTAAAAATTGAGAAATAGAAATATCGAAGATCTAAAAAATCGAGAAATTGAAAAATCGAAACATCGGAAAATTGGAAAATCTGTAAGTCGGAAAAGCGAGAAATCGAAAAATCGGAATATCGAGCAATTCAAAAACTGAAACATCGAAACATTAAAAGATCGAGAAATGGAGAAGTTCCAAAAATTGAAAAATATTACAAATTGAAATGGGCCAAAATAGAAAAGTTAGAAATCGAAAAATTGAAAAATCGAAATGGGCCAAAATCGAAAAGTTAAAAATTGTAAAATCTAAAATTAAAAAAATTGAATGAATTGATCAAAAATCAAAATCGAAAATCAAAAAATCTATTAATCGAGAAATCGAAAAATTGAAGAATCGAAAACCCGAAAAATCCCAAAACTGAAACATCGAAAATTCGAATATTTAAAAAATCAAAACCCTGAAAAATTGAAACATTAAAAAGTCGAGAAATTCAGAAATACGAAAATCAAAAAATCGACGAATCGAGAAATTGAAACATCGAAAAATTGAACAAACAAAAAATGTAAAACTTTAAAAATTGAGAAATAGAAATATCGAAGATCTAAAAAATCGAGAAATTGAAAAATCGAAACATCGGAAAATTGGAAAATCTATAAGTCGGAAAAGCGAGAAATCGAAAAATCGGAATATCGAAAAATTCAAAAACTGAAACATCGAAACATTAAAAGATCGAGAAATGGAGAAGTTCCAAATATTGAAAAATATTACAAATTGAAATGGGCCAAAATAGGAAAGTTAGAAATCGAAAAATTGAAAAATTAAAAAAAAGCAAGAAATTGAACAATTAAAAAATCAAAAGATCGAGATCCTGATAAATTGAAAAATTGAAAAATCTAAAACCAAGAAGTCGAAAAATCGAAAGCGAAAACGAAATACCAAAAAAAAAAACGAAAAATCGAAATTCCAAAAATTCGAAAAAGCGTAAAATATAAATATCGATGACCTAAAAATGGAAAAAATAAAAATCAAAAAATTGAAACCCAAAACTGAAATATCGAAAAATGGAGAAATGGGAAAATCAAAATCTTGAAAATTTAGAAATGTCAAAAATTGAAAAATTAAAAATTAGAAAAATTAAAAAATCAAGAAATTGGAAAATTCCATAACTGAAATGACCAAAAATGGAGAAATCGAAAAATTGCACAATCAAAACATCGAAAAATTTGAAAATCGAAAAGCCCAAATGCCGAAAAATCGAAAAACCGAGAAGTCGAAAAATCGGAACAACGGAAAATTCAAAACTGAGACATCGAGAAATTGAAACATGTAAAGATCGAGAAATCGATAAGTCGAGAAGCCGAAAAATTAAAAAATCGAAAACGGAAAAATCTGAAACCGAGAAGTTGAAGTTCTATTTCTTAGAAATATCAAAAAACGAAAAAATCGAAAACATAAAAATTCGGACAATTGAAAAATAGCAATATCGAAGAATTGAGAAGTGGAAGAAAAACTGAAAAATCGAAAAATTGAAAAACTGAAGAATCGAAACACTGAAAAGTCTAGAAATCGAGAAATAGAAAATTGAAAAATCCAGAAATCGAAAATCCACAATTTCAGAAATCGGAAAATTGAAGAATCGAGAAATTCAAAAATCAAAACATCGAAAAATTGACAAATTGAAATAAGCCAAAATAGAAAAGTAAAAAATCGAAAAATCGAGAAATTGAAAAATGTAAAATTTAAAAAATTGAAAAATAGAAATCTCGAAGAACTAAAAAATCGAAAAGTCAAAAATGCGAGCAATCGAAAAATAGGAATAATAAAAAAAATCGAAAACTGAAACATCGAAACATTAAAAGATCGAAAAATCGAAAATATAAAAATTCGAAAAACCGTAAAATAGAAAATCGAAAAAGTAAAAATCGGGAAATTGAAGAATCGGAACTGAAAAGTCGAGAAATCAAAAATCCAAAATTTGAAAAATAGAAAAATCGAAAAACTAAAACATGGAGAAATTGAAAATTGCAAAACTGAAATGACCAAAAATTGGAATATCGGAACGCCGGAAAATCGGAAAACCAAGAAATCGAAAAGTCGGAGCATCGAAAAATTCAAAAGTGAAACATCAAAAGATCGAGAAATCGAAAATATAAAAATTCGAAAAACCGTAAAATAGAAATATCGATGAGTTGAAAAATTTAAAGATTAAATAATTAGAAAATCCCAAAACTGAAATATCGAAAAATTGATAAACCGGAAAATCGGAACTGAAAAATCGAGAAATGGGAAAATAAAAAAATTGGAAATTTAGGAACGTCAAAAATTGAAAAATCGAGAAATCAAAAATCCAAAATATTAAAAATAGAAAAATCAGAAAATTGAAAAACTAAAACATCGAGAACTTTTAATGTTTCAAATTAAAAGTTCGAGAAATGGAGAAGTTCCAAAAATTGAAAAATATTACAAATTGAAATGGGCCAAAATAGAAAAGTTAGAAATCGAAAAATTGAAAAATTAAAAAAAAGCAAGAAATTGAAAAATCTAAAACCAAGAAGTCCAAAAATCGAAAGCGAAAACGAAATTACAAAAAAACCGAAAAATCGAAATTCCAAAAATTCGAAAAAGCGTAAAATATAAATATCGATGAACTAAAAATTGAAAAATTTTAAATTAAAGATCAGAAAATTGAAAAAATAAAAATAAAAAAATTGAAAGCCAAAACTGAAATATCGAAAAATCGAGAAATGGGAAAATCAAAACCTTGAAAATTTAGAAATGTCAAAAATTGAAAAATTAAAAATTAGAAAAATTAAAAAATCAAAAAATTGGAAAATTCCACAACTGAAATGACCAAAAATGGAGAAATCGAAAAATTGCACAATCAAAACATCGAAAAAGTCCAAATACCGAAACATCGAAAAACCGAGAAGTCGAAAAATCGGAACGTCGGAAAATTCAAAACTGAGACATCGAGAAATTTAAACATGTAAAAATCGAGAAATCGATAAGTGAGAAGCCGAAAAATTAAAAAATCGAAAACGGAAAAATCAGAAACCGAGAAGTTGAAGTTCTATTTCTTAGAAATATCAAATAACGAAAAAATCGAAAACATAAAAATTCGGACAATTGAAAAATAGCAAATATCGAAGAATTGAGAAGTGGAAGAAAAACTGAAAAATCGAAAAATTGAAAAACTGAAGAATCGAAACACTGAAAAGTCTAGAAATCGAGAAATAGAAAATTGAAAAATCCAGAAATCGAAAATTCACAATTTCAGAAATCGGAAAATTGAAGAATCGAGAAATTCAAAAATCAAAACATCGAAAAATTGACAAATTGAAATAAGCCAAAATAGAAAAGTAAAAAATCGAAAAATCGAGAAATTGAACAATTAAAAAGTCGAAAACTTGATAAATCGAAAAACTGAAAAATCTAAAACTGAGAATCCAAAATCCAAAAAATCGAAAATAGAAAAATTCGAAAAACCGTCAAATAGAAAATATTGGTGAATAGAAAATTGAAAAATTTAAAATTTAAAGATCAAAAAATTAGAAAATCGAAAAAGTAAAAATCGTCAAATCGAGAAATTGAAGAAACCCAAAACTGAAAAGTCGAAAATTCGAGAAATGGGAAAATCATAAAATTGAAAATTTAGAAACGTAAAAAATTGAAAAGTCGAAAAATTCAAAAATTGAGAAATTAAAAATCCAAAATTTAAAATAACGAAAAATAGAAAAATAGGAAAATTAAAGAAGCGAAAAACTAAAACCTCGAGAAATTGAATAATTTCTAAACTGAAATGACGAAAACTTGGGAAATTGAAAAATTTGAAAAGCCCAAAAGTCGAAAAATCGAGAAGTCGAAAAATAGGATCAACGGAAAATTCAAAAACTGAGACATCGCAAGCAAATATTTAAAAAGTCGCAACACTGAAATTCGAAAAATTCTAAAAATTGAAAAATCGAAACATTGAATAAACGAAAAATGTAAAATTTTTGAAAAATAGAAATATCGAAGAACTAAACAATCGAGAAATTCAAAAATCGAAAGATCGAAAAATTGTAAAACTGAAAGAAGATCGAAGAAAGATCGAGAAGTTTCAAAGATCGAAAAACTGAGAAATTGAAATAGACGTAAACAGAAAAGTTAAAAATCGAAAAATTGAACAACTAAAAAAAATCGAAAAATCGAGAAATTGAATAAACAAAACATCAAAAGATCGAAATCTTGAAAAATTGAAAAACTGAAATAACGAAAAATTTTTTTTAAATTGAAACATTGAAAAATCGAAAAATTGAAAAATCGCAAAATTGAAGAAGCGAAAAATTAAAACATCGAAATGAGCAAAAAATGGGGAAATCGAAAAATTCAGGTATCAACACTTCGTAAAATTTGAAAATCGAAAAGCCCAAAAGTCGAAAAACGAAGAAGTCGAAAAATCGGAACATTGGAAAATACAAAAAATGATACATCGAGAAATTGAAAAGTGGAAGAAAAACTGAAGAAAAGTCGAAAATTCGAGAAATGGGAAAATCAAAAAATCGAAACATCGAAAAATTCAAAAACTGAAACATGAAAATACCGAGAAATCGAAAAATTGAAAATTGAGAAATTGAATTTAAAAAAATTAAAAATTCTAAAACTGAAACTTCGAAAATTGGGAACCTGAAAAGTCGAGAAATCGAGAAACACGAAAATAAAAAGATCGAGAAATCCAGAATTGAGAATTTAAAAAAAAATCGAAATTTTAATAAATCGAAAAACTGAAAAATATAAAACCGAAAAGTCGAAAAATGGAAAGAGAAATCGAAACTCCAAAAAAAACTGAAAAACCGAAAATATAAAAATTCGAAAAATCGTAAAAGAAATATGGATGAATTGAAAAAGTAAAAATAGTGGAATTAGAAAACTGAAGAATCGAAATACAAATTGAAATCCCAAAACTGAAATATTGAAAAATTGAAAAATCGAAGAAAAAAAAAATTGAAAATTCAACATTTAAAAAATCAAAAGATCGAGATCCTGATAAATTGAAAAATTGAAAAATCGAAATTCCAAAAATTCGAGAAAGCGTAAAATATAAATATCGATGAACTAAAAATTGAAAAATTTTAAATTTAAAGATCAGAAAATTGAAAAAATAAAAATCAAAAAATTGAAACCCAAAACTGAAATATCGAAAAATCGAGAAATGGGAAAATCAAAACCTTGAAAATTTAGAAATGTCAAAAATTGAAAATTTAAAAATTAGAAAGATTAAAAAATCGAAAAATCAAAAATCCAAAATTTAAAAAATCGAAAAATTGGAAAATTCCATCACTGAAATGACCAAAACTGAGACATGGAGAAATTGAAACATGCAAAGATCGAGAAATAGAGAAGTAGAGAAACCGAAAAATTAAAAAATCGAAAATTTTAAAATTAAAAAAAAAATCGAAAACGGAAAAATCTAAAACCGAGAAGTCGAAACATTGAAAGATCAAGAAATGGAAATATCAAAAAGCGAAAAAATCGAAAACATAAAAGTTCGGACAATTGAAAAATAACAATATCGAAGAATTGAGAAGTGGAAGAAAAATTGAAAAATCCCAAAACTGAAACATTGAAAAATCGAATATTTAAAAAATCAGAAACTTGAAAAATCGAAAAATTCAAAAACTGGAACATCAGAAGATTGGGAAATCAAGACGTTCCAAAAATCGAAAAATTGACAAATTGAAATAGGCCAAAATGGAAAAGTTAAAAATCGAAAAATTAGAGAATAAAAAAATCGAAAAATTGAACAATTAAAAAGTCGAAAACTCGATAAATCGAAAAACTGAAAAATCTAAAACTGAGAAGTCGAAAACCAATCCAAACACCAAACAACCAAAAAATCGAAAAATAGAAAAATTCGAAAAACCGTAAAATAGAAATATTGGTGAATAGAAAATTGAAAAATTTTAAATTTAAAGATTAAAAAATTAGTAAAAATCGTCAAATCGAAAAATTGAAGAATCCCAAAACTGAAAAGTCGAAAAGTCGAAGAATTAAAAAATTGAGAAATCCAAAATCCAAAATTTAAAATAACGAAAAATAGGAAAATTAAAGAAGCGAAAAACTAAAACCTCGAGAAATTGAATAATTCCTAAACTGAAATGACGAAAACTTGGGAAATCGAAAATTTTGAAAAGCCCAAAAGTCGAAAAATCGAGAAGTCGAAAAGTAGGATCAACGGAAAATTCAAAAACTGAGACATCGAGAATTTGAAAAGATAAATGAAACATCGAAAAAGCAAATATTTAAAAAAGTCGCAACACTGAAATTCGAAAAATTCAAAACATTGAAAAATCGAAACATTGAATAAACGAAAAATGTAAAATTTTTGAAAAATAGAAATATCGAAAAACTAAACAATCGAGAAACTCAAAAATCAAAACACCGAAAATTTGTAAAACTGAAAGAATATCGAAGAAAGATCGAGAAGTTTCAAAGATCGAAAAACTGGGAAATTGAAATAGACGAAAACAGAAAAGTTAAAAATCGAAAAATTGAACAACTAAAAAAAATCGAAAAATCGAGAAATTGAATAAACAAAACATCAACAAGATCGAAATCTTGAAAAATTGAAAAACTGAAATAACGAAAAATTTTAAAATCGAAGAATAAAAAAATTGAAAATTCAACATCAAGTCAAAATCGAAAAATTAAAAAGTCGAGAAATCAGAAATCCAAAATTTAAAAAATCGAAAAATTGAGGAACCGAAAACTAAAACATCGAAAAATTGAAAAATTCCAAAACTAAAATGACCAAAAATGGGGAAATTGAAACTGAATAATCAAAATATCGAAAAATCGGGACATCGGAAAATTCAAAAACTGAAATATCGAGAAATCGAAAAGTTAAAAATTGAAAAATTTGAAATTGAAAAAAAAAATCGAAAAATTGAGAATTCGAGAAATTCTATTCAAAAAATTGTCGAGAAATTGGGAAATCGAAAAATTAAAAATTTAGAAACGTGAAAAATTGAAAAATCGTAAAACTGGAACATCGAAAATTAGTTATATATACAATTTTTTTTCAAAAATTTTGGTGCTTACATTTAGTATTGTAAAATTTGAAGATGACGTCATTCCATTGTTGGTGGGGACGAGCAGACATTTGATTAGCGCACTGATTAACTTATCAGCTTATCACATTTTATTACAACTGAAAATTACGCGACTGAAAGGACTACCAATTCGATGAAATACATGTACTTGTACATATACCAAAAAAAAAGATCGCAGACAGCGTACGACAAAAGTCACTAACTAAACTTTACATAATTACAATGTATTTACGCAAAGAAAACACAGTTGCTGCGTAAAGTATTTTTCAGTAGAGTTAAAGTTAATAGCAAAGCCATGTTTTGTAATCACTAAAACGATTTTATTTATGTAAAAATTTAAATGTAGCTTCTTTAATTTTGATTATATACATATTTGTGAACACTACAACCATAGTAATAGTAATAATGATTGCATAACCAGACAGGAATACATAAATAAACTAAAAAAAAAAAAACAACAAAATAAATATGTATTGACATATTAACATACAATAAACTTTTGAAGTGACGGCAGATAAATAGGGGACCTACTTTTGTATATTCATAAGCCATAGAACCACGACATTCGCCATCGTTAAGTGGACCTTGTACCCACATTTTAAGTCGATATACAAAATAAACAATTTATTATTGTTTGTTAAACACGAACACAATACGACACAAACATAATAAAAGACATAAAATTGCAATTAAGTTCATCCAATCTCCAACCACTTACGAATTGTTCTTAATAATTTAAAAACATAATTAAGAAACCCCGCTTTCTTTCCCTAGACGAACCCCGACTCTGTCTCTCATTAGTGACCCCGCTGCCATCAATACCACCCCTAATAACACCCCTACAGGGAAAAGCCGGCCGGTCTTCGCACTTTCACTCACCCCCTGTCCTCGTATATCTGCGAATACTTGGCCAAGTACTTATCCTGGCAGCCGGCCCATCCGAACAAAAGGATAACGGGTATTTTTTCTTCGTTCACCACAAAAACATAGTCACTTTCACCGTTCTGCTGGTTGTAGTTGAAGTTTGGACTGGGAAATTTGATGTAATATTCTAGGTTGTCCAAATCGGCGGCCATTTTCAAATCGGTGCGCGCGACGCGGTGGTCTATCGATCGCGAATTGTTTTTTTGGTAACGAGCCATGGCTTTCCATTGAGGAAAAGGAAATGCCATTGTTTGAGCTGGTGCGGAGCTGAGGTGCGAACGTTGACATCACACGGGTCAGGTTTGACAGGGGGACGCTTGATGGTTACGCGATTTTGACGTTTCGCAAGTCACTTTCTGGAGGTGTTTGAAGTTTCAAAATAAAAGACTCAAATTCTAGTTTCTGTGTTTTTTTTTCAAATTTTATGCTTGACATGCATTATTTTATTTTTTCCCAACATGGTAAAATTTAAAAATGATAGAACTGAGGGTACTGCAGCCCCGTAGCTACGGGGGGGGCAAGAGGGGGCTGAGCCCCCCCTAGCAGTTGTGGTTGCCCCCCCTGGAAGACTTATACATTATAAATTTCAAATTAGTAATAAAATTTCAATATAATGCTGATTGCCGAAGCATATTAACTGGCCCCACGCGCCCCACCTTTATTTTCTTACAGGGTATATTATTTGGCAATATCACCCTATAAAAAAATGAACATGTCACATTTTATTCCATAGCCTACTATGTACTTGAGAAAAGTCAAAAATATTATATGGATTTTCTAAAAATTGAGCTTTTATTGAAATGGACAAAAAATCGACAAAAAATTCTGAGACGTAGATCTCGATGAGCTTAATCAAAAAACATAAGGTCTTGATGGTCCCAGACCAAGATTTTTTAAAAATTCGGTTCCAAAGTCGACATTTCAAAATTTCTCAAAAATTACATTTCTTTTGGCGGTTCTGGAAAAATTGTACGAATTTTCGAAAAAATAAAACAAAAAAAAAACATTTGGAGATCGAAATCAATAAAAAGATCCCTTCTGCTAGTTTTCGAAAATGCGTGGGAAAAGTCAAATTTTTTTTATAGATTTTCAAAAATTGAGCTTTTGTTGAAATTGGCTAAAAATCTACAAAAAATTCTGAGATGTAGATCTCGACGAGTTTAGTCAAAAAACATAAGGTCTTGCTGCTATTCGGTTTCCAAGTCGACTTTTTAAAATTTCTCAAAAATTATACTCCTATTTCTTTTGACGATTCTAGAAAATTTTTACAAATTTTCGATCAAATAAAACCAAAAACAACATCTGAAGATTGAAATAAATAAAAGAATGACTTTTGGTAATTTTTGGAAATGCTTAAGAAAAGTCAAAATTTATTTAGTTTTCAAAAATTGAGCTTTTGTTAGAGTTGACAAAAAATTCTGAAATATAGATCTCGATGAGCTTAATCGAAAAACATGTTCATGCTCCCGGAGCAAAATTTACGAAATATTGGGTTTCGACCTAAAATTTCTAAAAAATCTCAAAAGTGACTTAAAAAAAAGTTATTTCTTTATGCAATTGTGGAAAAATTCGACGAAATATCAAAAAAATAAAACCAAAAATAACATCTGTAGATCGAAATCAATAAAGAGATCCCTTTTGCTAATTTTCGAAAACGGTTGGGAAAAGTCAAAAAATGTATGTGGATTTTCAAAAATTGAGCTTTTGTTGAAATTAACAAAAAATCAACAAAAAAATCTGAAATGTTGATCTCGACGAGCTCAATCAAAAAACACAAGGTCTAGATGGTCCCAGATCAAGATTTTCGAAACATTCGGTTTCAAAGTTCAAAAATTACATTTCGTTTGGCGATTGCTGAAAAATTTTACCAAAAACAACATCTGGAGAGCGAAATCAATAAAGGAATCCCTTTCGGTAATTTTTGAAAATGCCTGGGAAAAGTCAAAAATTTTATATGGGTTTTCAAAAATTGAACTTCCGTAAAAGTTGACAAAAAATTCTGAAATATAGATTTGGACGAGCTTAAAAAAACATGACAGGTTCATGGTTCCGGATCAAAATTTTCGAAATACTCGGTTTCGAGCTCGAATTTTCAAAATTTCTCAAAAATTACCATATTTCTTTTGGCGATTGTGGAAAAATTGTACGAATTTTCGAAAAAATAACCAAAAACAACATCTGGAGATCGAAATCAATAAAGGAATCCCTTTTGGTAATCTCGAACGTGCTTGAAAAAAAGTCAAAAATTTGATACAGGTTCTCAAAAATTGCCATATTTCTTCCGTCGATTCTGGAAAAATTGTAAGAATTTTCAAAAAAATTGAATCCAAAACGATTTTTGGAAATCGAGATGAACAAAAGAGTCTCTTTTGATAATTTTTGAAAATGCTTGGAAAAAGTCAAAAATTTTATATGGATTTTCAAAAATTGAACTTTCGTAAAGTTGACAAAAAATTCTGAAATACAGATTTGGACGAGCTTAAAAAAACATGACAGGTTCATGGTTCCGGATCAAAATTTTCGAAATACTCGGTTTCGAGCTCGAATTTTCAAAATTTCTCAAAAATTACCATATTTCTTTTGGCGATTGTGGAAAAATTGTACGCATTTTCGAAAAAACAACCAAAAACAACATCTGGAGATCGAAATCAATAAAGGAATCCCTTTTGGTAATCTCGAACGTGCTTGAAAAAAAGTCAAAAATTTGACACAGGTTCTCAAAAATTGCCATATTTCTCCCGTCGATTCTGGAAAAAATGTAAGAATTTTCAAAAAAATTGAATCCAAAACGATTTCTGGAAATCGACATGAACAAAGAAATTTCTTTTGGTGATTTTCGAAAATGCTTGGGAAAAGCCAAAAATTTTATATGGGTTTTCAAAAATTGAACTTTCGTAAAAGTTGACAAAAAATTCTGAAATATAGATTTCGACGAGCTTAAAAAAACATGACAGGTTCAAGGTTCCGCATCAAAATTTTCGAAATACTCGGTTTCGAGCTGGAATTTTCAAAATTTCTCAAAAATTACCATATTTCTTTTGGCGATTATGGAAAAATTGTACGAATTTTCGAAAAAACAACCAAAAACAACATCTGGAAATCGAAATCAATAAAGGGATCCCTTTTGGTAATTTCGAACGTGCTTGAAAAAAGTCAAAAATTTGATACAGGTTCTCAAAAATTGCCATATTTCTTCCGTCGATTCTGCAAAAAATGTAAGAATTTTCAAAAAAATTGAATCCAAAACGATTTTTGGAAGAAATCGAGATGAACAAAGGAATTTTTTTGGTAATTTTCGAAAATGCTTGGGAAAAGTCAAAAATTTTATATGGGTTTCCAAAAATTGAGCTTTTGTTAAAGTTGACAAAAAATTCTGAAATACACATCTCGACGAGTTTAAAAAAACATGACGAGTTCATGGTTCCGTACCAAAAGTTTCGAAATATTTGGTTTCAAAGTCGGATTTTTAAAATATGTACTAAACATGCAAAAAAATAAACTCAAACAAATTGGATGTTACCTATATGGCCACTACACAAATTTTTGGATGCAGTACAGCTGTTTGTGAATCTACATTCTCTATTTTAACCAGCATTTTAACCAAGTACCGTACCAATTTTTTGGACTTCGACAGGGTTTTACGAAAATTTAGCGTAAAAAATCGACGTTTCCAATTATTTTAATTTTCTTTCAAATATAAAAACTCAGAAAAAATAAAGTAGTTATCTGAGTGTATTATTAAAATATAAATATTTACATGAAGCCCCCTCTGTCGACAAACTTGCCCCCCCCCCCCCCCCCCCCCCGAATAAGTTTTCTAGCTACGGGGCTGGGGTACTGAAACTGAAATAAAGGTACCAGCGTGACAAATTGATTTAAACGCTATTTCCAAATAATTTACAATTTTGGCAAATCACGTACCTTATAAGAAAATAGAGGGTGGGTGGGCGGGGCTTATTTCCTTCTAAGATAAGACTGATTTTGGCAAATGACAACATAATCACGGATTCGTGATCTTGAATCAATTTCCTGTAAAATAGGTACCAGTTTGGACATATTCAGGTAAGTTTTGTTCAGTTGGTCTAATTTTAATATTTCTTTAATGGATGTTTTTGTCGTTAACTGTAAAATTATTTCAAGAATCACTTCGAATTGAAAAATCGAAAATTAATCGTACAGTTTTCCCCAACACGCGTAATTCTTGCGGTTTTTCCAAGCGGAAAAATACAAATTTTCGACTGACGCCAACACGTGTAAATTTGTTTTATTGTTTGTAAATTCACAGTTCGTGATTGGATTTTAATCGTTAACTGGTTCTAACACAGTTTAACGGTCCTGAGATTGTTTAGTCAAAGTACTGGTTAGGAGGTTTAATGAAATTTACTTAGTCAGGACTCATCAAGTTATAAACAAGGTTGCCAATAGTTCATTTACGGCAGTTAAATTAACCTAACGTCGTCCCACTCTGGGATAAGCTGGGGACAGTCCACGATGTAAACTCTCAAAGCTAATTGTTTTAAGTAACCAGAAAAATTGAAAATTTAGAAACGTCAAAATTGAAAAGTCGAAAAATAGTAAAATCGGAAAATTGAAGAAGCGAAAAACTAAAACATCGAGAAACTGAAAAATTCCAAAACTGGAATGACCAAAAATTAGGATATCGAAAAATTAAGGTATCAACACGTAAAATTTGAAAATCGAGCCCAAAAGTCGAAAAACCGAGAAGTCGAAAAATCGGAACACTGGAAAATTCAAAAACTGAGACATCGGGAAATTGCCAAAATCAAAAATTCGAAAAATAAAAAAATTAGAAATCGAAAAACTAAAAAATCTGAAACCGACAAGTTGAAAAATCAAAATATCAAAAAACGAAAAAATGGAAAAATGAGAAATCGAAATATGTATTGAAAAATCCCAAAGTTGAAATATCGAAAAATTGAAAAGTGGAAGAAAAACTGAAGAAAAGTCGAAAATTCGAGAAATGGGAAAATCAAAAAATCGAAATATCGAAAAATTCAAAAACTGAAACATCAAAAGATCGAAAAATCCAGAAGTACCAAAAAATCGAAATCTTGATAAATCGAAAAATTGGAAAATATAAAACCGAAAAGTCGGAAAATAGAAAGAGAAATCGAAACACCAAAAACTCGAAAATCGAAAATATAAAAATTTGAAAAACCGTAAGAAAAATATCGATGAATTGAAAAATTAAAAAATTGAAAATTTCCAAAACTGAAATGGCCAAAAATTGGGAAATCGAAAAATTAAGGTATCAACACGTAAAATTTGAAAATCGAAAAGCCCAAAAGTCGAAAAACCGGAACATTGGAAAATTCAAAAACTGAGACATCGAGAAATTGAATCAAAATTGGCCAAATTCAAAAATTCGAAAAATAAAAAACCTAAAAATCGAAAAATTAAAAAATCTGAAACCCAGAAGTTGAAAATTCAAAAGATCAAGAAACAGAAATATCAAAAAACCAAAAAAATGGAAAACTGAGAAATCGAAATATGTATTGAAAAATCCCAAAGTTGAAATACCGAAAAATTAAAAAGTGGAAGAAAAACT